CTAAAAATTCATTGTAATATTATTGTTAATATATATTTTGCTTTGTTAGTTAATAAAACTAATAAACATATTTATAATAATAATAAAAAATATATAAAATACAGCTTTTGTTTAACACGTATAAGTAGCTAAGTGTATCTACTACTTATCCAAAAAGGAGGTGTTTTAAAAAAGCCCTACGCCCAGTAACTTCTCCCTTCATTGTTTACTCGAAAAAAGTGCTCGTATATGTTTTCATTTGCCGAGAAATCATTTTCAAAATATATTTATAATAAAAATATGCAAGTCTTGGTGATGAAAAATGTACTCCTAATAAATTATTAAGTACATAAAAAAATAGAAACAAATTTTATTTATTTAAAAAAAAATCTCTCGCAAAGGCAGGTTCCTCTTTCTTCTTGAATCAATTATTTCGGGCAATAATACGCCAAAGTAAAATCTCCCAAGTTTATCTGCCATCTTTTTACATATATTTCTTCGTCTTTATAATTTTTTTCTATATTTATTCCTTTGGGTGTCCATACAACAAAACAAACTTGTGAAATACTCGTAACAAGCATTTGTCCCTGGACTTGAAAGTAGTAATCATGATTTTTTTTAGTTTCAATTCTCTGTCTGTCAATGTACAAAATTTGATTATTTTTTTTCTAACCGCTTCTTCGGGAGACAAATCTTGCGATTTTGAAGGGCATTTAATTTCGAGTAATGCACTCCTATCCTCTAGAACCCTGTCTGGAGTAGCAGCCAAGTAAGGAAATTGTTTTGAAATAAACAAGCCACACCGTTCAGTGTTTATATTTCTATTTTTTTCAAAACACTTGACAGCTTTTCCCTCACTTTGCTGTCCATAGTATGTATGACTATTACCTCTAAATGTACTGTATAACAGAGACTCCACTATTGCTGTAGTCGGTCTAAGTTTGTAAATACGTCCAAAATTTGAAGCCGTAACCCTAATTTCTCTTTTTTTTGCCCAAATGTGCCTGTTGCCTAGTGTCTATTTCAATTTGGTCTAAATTCAAAGATAATTTTCTCAAAAAAACCTCTTTGCCTGTCACAAATGTTTCTACATCCATGACAGGATTTTCTAAAAAATATTTAAACCATAATCGCAATCGGGACCAGCATCGTAAATTTTTTTACGAATACTTTGTCTAAGACGAGCTTGTTTTATAGACGAACAATATTTTTTTGTTATTAAACCAGGACCGTTTTAATCACAATATATTTACTTATCCCCTCTAAGAAATTGATGACGTCACCTCAAAATTTTGCTGAATAAATCCTATCTAAATTTTATAAAATATGATGAGTCTCTTCTTGTGATTTTTCATTCCATTCATGTTTTTTGGATTTGCATATACAGGATGACCCCAAAATTAATGAATGCGTAAATTTATTTTATTGATTTAATGAGGAACTACAGAACCCAATGCTTTGAAATCTTGCAAATGTTTTAAGGTTATAAAGAGTATAATAAATTTTTAGTCAAAATATATTTGCTTATCCCCTCCAAAAAATTGATGACGTCAGCTCAAAAGTTTGCCGTATAATCCTATTTAGAATTTACAAAATATGATGAGTCTCTTCTTGTAATTTATCATTCCATTCATATTTTTTGGATTCGGATATATAGGGTGACTCAAAAAATTTAATGAATGCGCAAATTTATTTTATTGATTTAATCAGGAACTACAAAACCGAATGCTTTGAAATCTAATGTGAAAAAAAATACATAATAGACATGCAATCGTCACGTTTCCGATACCGAGGGAAGTACTGTCTAGACTCATTAGACCAATTTTTTTTATTTTCCCATTTTTCCATTTCCCAATTTTTCAATGTTTCAGTTTGGGATTTTTTCACTGCTTCGATTCTTTAATTTTCCTTCCATTTTTAGGTTTTTCAATATTTCAGCTTTGGAATTTTGCAATATTTCGTTTCTTCAATTTTTCAAATTTTTGATATTGTGTTTTCTCGGTTTTTAAATTTTTCGAAATTTTAATTTTTCAGTTTTTAAAGTTTTAGGTTTTTAGATTTCTCACCATCTCGACTTTTCGATTTTTCAGTTCCATGATTTTTCAGTTTGTCGAATTTTTAAATTTTAGATTTTTTGTTCTCGATCATTCAATTTTCTGAGTTTTCAGGCTTAGATTTTTTTTGTTGTTCAATTCTTGGATTTTTAAAATGCTTGTTTTTTAAATTTTCCTATTTATCACTGGGCTTTCAATGTTTTGATTTTTTGATTGTTCAATTTCTCGATTTTTTTAATTTTTAGTTTTTGATACGATTTTTTTTTTCAAAAATTTTCAGTTTTTCAATTTATTAACTTTACGATATTTCAGTTTTACAATTCTTAATTTTTTTTATTTTTCAGTTTTCAATTTTTGACGTTTCTAAATTTTTCGATTTTTCAATTTTTCGATTAACTGATTTTTTGATTTTCCCATTTCTCTATTTCTTGATTTTTCAATTCTTTCTTCAATTGTGGTTTTTCAATTTTTCGATTTCTGGATTTTTCAATGTTTCAGTTTTGGATTTTTTCACTTTTCCGATTCTTCAATTTTCTTTCCATTTTTCAGTTTTTCAAGATTTCAGTTTTGAATTTTTTCACTTTTTCGATTTTTCAATTTTCCTTTCATTTTTCAGTTTTTCAGTATTTCAGTTCTGAGATTTTGCAATGTTTCGGTTCTTCAATTTTTCCATTTTTTGATGTTTCGATTTCTCGGTTTTTCAATTTTTCGATAGGTATTTTAATTTTACAATTTTTAAGTTCTAGATTTTCCGTAAATTTTTTTGTTTTCCTTGATGTTTTGATTTCCCGATTTTTCAAGTTCTCGGTTTAGATTTTTTGGTTTTCCAATTCTTCGATTTTTAAATTGTTTAATTTTTAGATTGTTCAATTTCTCGATTTCTATTATTTTTCAATTTTTCGGTTTACCGATTTTTTTCATTTAAAATGTTTCAATTTTTCAATTATTAAGTTTTCAATTTTTGAATTTTGGTGTAATTTGAAAACGGCATTAATAATACATTTAGGCGAATAAACTAATAGATGGGCTTGATAAGCCTTGTTTGCTCTACAGTGTCTAAATTGTATTTGAAAAATATAATAATTATCTGGAATGTTAAAATTAATATGTCAAAAGAATACCCTCGACTAGGGAAATTTTCATTTAAGATTCCAACAATTAAATTTGCCACGTATCTTCCACAACTATCGGTTGTTTCATCGACAGCGAACCATAAATAATTATCTCCAATGCGATGTTTAATTTCGTTGTAAACTTGCTGAAACACTGGGCCTACATAATTTTTTCGGAGAGTACTTTCAACCGGAATATGTCGATTGCAGTGTTTTTCAAGGAATTCTTGAAGAGGGCCTTTCTCCAATTTTTTTAAAGGTATATTGGACTGGATCATCATTTTACATAAATCGAAATTAAACTGAAACCGCTCATCTTTTTTGGAAGTAGATGCAACAGATTCATCTATAGTCTGCTGTTTAATTTTAGAAACTTCAAACATTTTCTTCCTTTCTACATGAAGAGTCGTTCTGACATGTTGCGTCACGTTATATTTTTTATCACTTTGAATCTAAAACAACGTACATATACAGGATTAACAAAGGAAAATAGATAAAAAAAAATTAGTGGACTTACGGTTTTCACACAAGCTCTGTAGAATATTTTGTTGTTTTCTAATTTTAATTCTGGAAAATCCCTTATCCACTCATCCGGCGTCGATTTTACTTTCGACATTCTTTAAAATATTAGTAATATTACCAAAAAGAACTCAACATGTAACAAGGGAGAACCACGTATAACATTGTACCACGACAGATGCGATAGACTGATGGTTGAGAAATAAACGGTTCATTCACTTAAAAGTTTCCATTAGAAAATTTTTAAGGTAGGTAGTTGGGTACAATAATCCTTTTTTTTAGAAAATCTTCAACGGTCTTGCCGCAAAATGCCGAAAAAGAACATCTGGTTAAAAGCTTTAATTCATTATCCACGGAAGTAAGGATTTAAAGTCATAAAATCTATGGAGTATTTTTTCCAATCCTATAATAAAATTTTATTACCCAAACGACCGGAACCTATTCACAGAAAGGGTCTTGAGTAAGTGTACTTCAATGGTCAAGTCCAGGTAAAATGCATACGATACGATACGCCTAACAAGTATTTGTCATCCCGACAAGGCCGGCATTTGAACAAAATATGCATTAAAACATGACGAATATGAATTCGTCGAAAAAAGCATTAAATAAGCATATAAGTTTTAATATGCATAAAATTGAAAAAAAAGCAAATAAAAAAAATGTGTCAAATGACTCCAAATTGTATCATAGTTACAGATATAAAAAAGTTTTGAAGTGCTTACATTTTTCACAAAAAGCATTAAACCTAGAAATCCGCTCTCCAATAATAAAATATATTCAGTCTCCGAAAATAATTAACCTGTTATAAATAAATGTCAAAAATAATTCCAAGGCCTGGTCCAAATATATTTTTTATTGTACACCCATTAATTTATATTTCCCGTCATTAATAATGAATTAGTTGTTTTAATTCATGTCATTTTTTTATTGTCATAAATATTATTTATATCTTGAATCATAATTTAAAAGTGATGATAATGAATTGCATTAAAACGCATTTATTTATAAATCACAAATAAACCATTAATTTGATGCATTACAATAAAATTGTACGAGTGAATTTAATTAATTTTTCCGCACTTCAGAGAATAAAATGTTTGTATGCATGAACCAAATTAGGATAAATCTCTGAAAAATCGTTTAACCGTAACAAGCGTCTCGAACCCAGCAAATTCATTACCCCGCACCAGCCTTCCAAAAAACTTTCTGTTGAATTTGCGCCGAAGTCACAACAGCTTCTGTTGATTTTTAAACCGTTCGGAAACTTCCCAACTCCTCCAACTCATTTAATTTCGATTTTATTCACCGCTTTAATTAAAAACTCTTGTCTTTGCAGCGCCAGCAGCACGAACGCCTCCAAAGAGAGCCTCCCCATCGAGCCGGCCCCCAACACCTTGAAAGACCTCTCGGAAAAGCCGGCCTCCCCCGGCAAAGAGGCGAAAGAAAAGCACGACGATTTCGGCGATTTGATGGATTACATTATGTTGGACAGCGCCGAAAGGGAGAAGCACCGCGTTGAAATAGATAGAGTGCACCCCGTTATCCAGAAGAGCCCCGGATGGGAATCGCTGAAAGTGGTGGGCAATCCCACAATCGGCGAATTGAGGAAGATTGCCGTCAGGTTGGTAACTTATCGAGTGCCGGTGATGTTTTGATGACGTACAAAGGTTGAACGCTCGCCGGATTACGAATGTGGAGTACGTGTTTTACGTTTTGGAAACCATTAACGTTATGAAAATTTTATTTTCGGACGGATTTATAGCACGGCGTGATTCATTAAAACGTGAATAAGTGAAATGTTCGTTTCGCGTGGCGAGGGCGAGGTGTTGGGGCAACATCTTAACTTGGGGGCTATAAAACCTTGACATTGGACTGGATGCGGAATTAACGGCTATTCTTAAGGTCGGCTTGCACGGAACGGGAACGGCTGCCCGCTTTCTATAGCGAGTCATTTATTTTCGGCGGTAAATTCGCGCGACGTTAACGAGAAATGTGCGGCCGAGATTTACATCGAAGACATTTCGTTGGAATTACTCTTAAAAGCTTCTTAGCATCATGTACAATTTTTATTTACTGCTGTAGAAAACGTGTCGTTCCAATTTTTGCGGCTCTACTACACCTTAAGGAAATTTCTATCTCAAAAAATATTTATTTTTTATTTCCAATTTATTTCTTTTTGATTATCCGTTCTTCAGGCATATAAACTTAGTTTGCTATTATATTTTCCCACATTACACTTTTTTCAAATAATCTATTAAATTTCATCCATCATTCAACATCAATTTAGACTATTTAAAACCTTTTTAGCTTCCTTGGTTGCTGCAGCTGAACTGTCATCAAATTTTGACATGATTTCTTTTATCTGCATAAAAATGCACTTAACATTAAACTATGCAATAAATGTAAAATGGAGTTAGCCGTTCCTGATTTAATCAATAAAATAAATTGAAATATTCATTAATTTTTTTGAACCACTTGTAGTCATATTTATTTATGCCGCTCGTTTTTACTTTACCTCATTTTCTGGAAAATCTGTTAGGAGGAGACAATTCATTCAAATTAAACAAATTTCTACGTGGCATTCTTTCGATGTATAAACATAAACAATCGAAATTAAGCATGTACACTGATAATAATGCACTCTTTTCCGTTGGTTATTTGTTTTGAATATATTTCATGTTGTCACCACTGCTTTTTAATATATAAAGGTTATCAGAAAACAACAATTTCTTATTATTTTTCAAAAAGCGGAATTTGTTGGACTTCACTTCAAGGGCTAGGAAAGCTCTGTCAGAGTAACCTTGGACCATTTTTTTCTTTTCACAACAAGAAACTTAGAACATGTTCAAAATGGTAAATTTTTCTAGGGAAATACGGATTTTGCAATTACTCTCCGCCCCTCGGTCTGACAACCAATGAAAAATTCACCACAATTGAGATAGGCGCGGTTGGGTGGGGCTTAATTTTTTTTATGATGTACGTAGTTGTTTTTTTTAACAATATGAGACATAAAAAGATGCTTGCAGAGAAACGAGGATTTTGCAAATAAGCCCCGCCCCCCCGGGTTACGAGGAATAAAAAATCCGTCACAACGGAATTAGAGCAGGTGGGTGGGGCTTATATTTAAAGAAAGATAGACTATATACAGATGAATATTAAAAGGAATTTAAAACGTGTTCAAAATGGTATATTTTTCTAGGAAAGTATGGATTTTGCAATTTTTCTAACTTTAGCATTTTGAACATGTTTTAAGTTTCTTGTTGTGAAAAGAAGTAAACGTAAGTCAATAAAAGAAAAATTTAAAATATAGGCCCCACCCACCCACCCTGTCTCAATTGTGATGATTTTTTTTATTCTTTGTTAGCCGAGGGGCGGAGCTTAACTGCAAAATTTTCGTTTCGCTATAAGCAATTATCTTGTGATTCTTTTTTTGACAACAAAAATCTTCAAACATGGCAGGTTAATGTTTGTGGGAAATATGGATTTTGCAATTATGCTCCGCCCCTTGGTCTTGCATCCAATGAAAAATTCATCACAATTGAGACAGGGGTGGGTGGGTGGGGCTTAGTGTTTGTTTTTATTAATATATATAGTTTTTATTTAACAACACTGTACTCAAAAACATCTTTCGCAGGGTAATTGCTAGTAGAGCAATGAGAATTTTGCTATTAAGCTCCGCCCCCGGCTCACGACGCATAAAAAAAATCATTACAATTGAGATAGGGGGGTGGTGGGGTTTATATTTTACCTTTTTTTCTTAAATTTTGTTTTCTTTTTTTCACAACAACAAACTTAAAACTTGTTCAAAATGGTTAAATTACAAAAATTGCAAAATCCGTATTCTTCTACAAAAAATTAAAAATCTAAAGATACTTTAGATCCCCACGATTGCTTGAAGATCTTTGGAATACATGTTAATTTTAGAAATACCAGAGACACTAGAGATTCTAGGAATCATAAGAATCTAGGAATTTTAGAGTTTCTAAGGAAAGTTTTTTAAAATGTTCCGTGATAGCAGAGATCCTGAACACTTTAAATCTTGTAGATTTCAGTGACTCAGAATTCCTGAGATTTCAATAATTTCAAATCCACTAAATCTCCTAGAAGTCATAGACTATATATCCTAATGCTTCGGAGGGGTTTAAAAATTCTGAAGTTTACGAAATTCCTGAAATACCTGACGATCCTGAAAATCCAAAAAATTTTGAAGAAATTGAGAAGCCTAATTCGGAAGATAGGGAAGATATTGAAGTTTCTTAATAATCCTGAGTATCCTGGAGAGTGTAAAAGATCTTAAACTTCTCAATATTTACAAATATGTAATGTAGAACTTTCAATAATACGTTCTTAAATGAATCCTTTAGCACCAAAAATTTTGAGAATCAAATAAAACTTAAAAATGCTTATTTTTTATTCATATTTCCAATGATAATAATTAAAGCAAAGTAAAATGTAGATGCATTTTTTGTTTCTTAGAGAATATATTATTTGCCAAAATCGGTCTTACGTTAGCAAGTATTAGCCCCGCCCAGCCTCCCATTTTTGTAGAGGGTATGTCATCTACCAAAATCAGTCTTACTTTAGCATGTACTAGCCCCGCCCACCCACCCTCTATTTTTTTTAGAGGATATATCTTTTGCCAAAATCAGTCTTATCTTAGCTAGTACTGGCCCCGCCCACCCGCCCTCTATTCCCTTAGGGGTATATTATTTGCCAAAATCAGTCTTATCTTAGCAAGCACAATAATCTAGGATTTTTTGAGATTCGAAGGACGGTTTTGCAAAATTTCCCATATTCTAGAGATCCTGAATATTTTAATTGTTCTAGATATCACAGATTTTTAGGATTCTTGAGATTTTTTACAATTTCAAATATATTAAGTCTTCTAGAATCATAGATTATATGTATAATCTAATGCTTCAGAAGGGTTTAAAAATTCTTAAGTTTACGAAGATCCTGAAATACCTGACGATTCTGAAAATCCAAAAAATTTTGACGATATTGAGAAGCCTGAAAACTTGGAAAATCGTGTAGATAATGATGGTTACTGAAGATCCTGAGGCTTGTAACGATTTTCAAGATAGTGAAAAAATTGAAGTTTCTTGATATTTCTGAATATCCTGAAGAGCATAAAGATCTTAAAGCTCTCAATAATTACAAACGTATATTGTAGAACTTTTTAATAATACATTGTTAAATAAATCCTTGAGTCCCTAAAAATTTTTAAGATCCTTAAGATCAAAGAAATCTTAAAAATGCCTATTTTTTATTCATATTTCCAATGATAACTAAAGTAAAGTAAAATGAAGATGCAATTTTTTTTTCTTAGAGAATATATTATTTGCCAAAAGCTCTGTCGGAGTAACCTTGGACCAATTATTTCTTTTCACAACAAGAAATTTAGAACATGTTCAAAATGGTAAATTTTTCTAAGGAAATACGGATTTTGCAATTACTCTCCGCCCCTCGGTCTGACAACCAATGAAAAATTCACCACAATTGAGATAGGGGCGGTTGGGTAAGGCTTAATTTTTTTTTATGATGTACGTAGTTGTTTTTTTTTAACAATATGATACATAAAAACATGCTTGCAGAGAAACGAGGATTTTGCAAATAAGCTCCGCCCCCGGGTTACGAACAATAAAAAAACCGTCACAACGGAATTAGAGCAGGTGGGTGGGGCTTATATTTAAAGAAAGATATACTATATACAGAAGAATATTAAAAGGAATTTAAAACGTGTTCAAAATGGTAAATTTTTCTAGGAAAGTATGGATTTTGCAATTTTTCTAACTTTACCATTCTGAACATGTTTTAAGTTTCTTGTTGTGAAAAGAAGTAAACGTAAGTCAATAAAAGAAAAATCTAAAATATAAGCCCCACCCGCCCACCCTGTCTCAATTGTGATGATTTTTTTTATTCCTTGTTAGCCGAGGGGCGGAGCTTATCTGCAAAATTTTCGTTTCGCTACAAGCAATTATCTTGTGATTCTTTTTTGACAACAAAAATCTTCAAACATGGTAGGTTAATTTTTGTGGGAAATGTGGATTTTGCAATTGTGCTCCGCCCCTTGGTCTTGCATCCAATGAAAAATTCATCACAATTGATACAACGGTGGGTGGGTGGGGCTTAATGTTTGTTTTTATTAATATATATAGTTTTTATTTAACAACACTGTACTCAAAAACATCTTTCGCATGGTAATTGCTAGTAGAGCAATGAGAATTTTGCTAGTAAGCTCCGCCCCCGGCTCACGACGCATAAAAAAAATCATTACAATTGAGATAGGGCGGGTGGGTGGGGTTTATATTTTACCTTTTTTTCTTAATTTTGTTTTCTTTTTTTCACAACAAGAAACTTAAAACATGTTCAAAATGGTTAAGTTACAAAAATAGCAAAATCCGTATTTTTCTACAAAAAATTACTATATTGAACATGCTTTAAGTTTGTTGTGGTGAAATAAAGAAAATGTAAGTTAATAAAAGAAAAAAGTAAAGTATAAGCCCGACCCACCCACCCTATCTCAATTGTGATGATTTTTTTTATTGATCGTTAGCCGAGGGGCGGAGCTTAACTGCAAAATTTTCGTTTCTCTACAACCAATTATCTTGTGATTCTTTT